CATTGTGGTTTATTCAGCAAAACCATGATTAAACAAATAGTTATTTACAGTGATGTGGGTACTCAACCAGCATTGGGAATTCTGGTTGTACAATTATCTAGAAAGAACTTCCTAGTAGGAATTTTAGGTCACAAGTCCTTTAAATTCCATTTCAGTTTAAGATAAACCAGGATCTATTATATTGAAAATAGAATGCTCAGTCCCTGACCACTTGACTCTCAACTACTAGCAGTATTAATCAGACTCTTGATGATCTTAGATTTTTATGAACTCCACCTTCACACTGTTATGACTTTCCCTTTTTACAGTAACAAGTTCTGGAATCTTGTTCTTCGAAAAACAGAAAGTTTCCTTGCTTGCTTGCTATGATACTTACAGCTCCAGATGATATACTGGCTTCTCTAATGGGCATTTCTTAATTTGTGATATGGGTATAATCTCACATGCCTAAATACAGTGCCTGTAATCCAGAAAAACTACAAACCAGCATGTAAGAATGTTTTTGTTTGCTTTGATAATATGAAATAATGGTTTGTCTGAACAAATCCTTTTGCCACGTCACAAGCCAAGTTTTTGTCACTTACCACAGGCCAAGTTTATGCTCCAAAACATATCCATCACAGGACATTCACCCCAAATGTCTACACTGGTTTCAGACAACGAGGCTCTTACGTGTACATATTACAGACAAATTAAACCACATACCAGCTTTGCTAATGAACAACACATAAATGAATAAGCCAATTGCATTTCAGAAGAACGTCATCAGCACTTGGCTCTTTCCAACTTCAGTCTGTAGATCTCATGCATTGGAAGCTAAGAAGCTGTTGAGCCAGCAAGACTCTCGCCCAGATTTCTCTTTTTTATCTTTCTTCCAAGTGGGAGAAGGACAGCTGGTTCTTGCCTCTTGCCTACCTGCAGCTTTGTGCTTCTGGAAGTGTTGAGCTGTGGCTTCAGCTTCCCAGCCAGTGCCTCCGTGCATGATTTTGGGCACCGGGAGGAGTGTTTGTGCTGTACCCACAGCTGTATGCTTGAGCTGTCACCTGCCAGGATGTACCTGTATGAATGGGATGATGATTCAGAGGCGGTGAGTAACTGTATATGGCCAATTTTGGTTACCCTACTTTGCACTGCTTATGTCTGTCTGTTGCTAACTTACTGTGGTGCATCTGAAAAACATCAGGGCTCAGATTTTATCATTCCTTGCTCTCCTCTTTTGTGTCAGGGTTCTAATCTGCATCTCTTTGGCTTTCCTATCAATTTGATCTTTTCTTTCCACCTTTCTTGCCCAGGAAAGTTGTCCATCCTTAAACAGATCAAAAAGTTCCTAAAAGAAACATAACTTGAAAGCTGATCTGATCTGAGCAGGGATAGATCCTGACAGGACCACTGGGGAAGTCGATCAGTACTCCTTGACGATCATTTCCAGCTCAGGAAGATTCTGATTGTTTTTGGGGGTGGGGGTGGGGGGTGATTATAACTCCATCATTCCCCAAATACCCTTTTCACCAGGAAAAGTTTTCGTGTATCACATGCTTGGCTTTTTTTTTTTAGGTGGATTTTTCCAGGTTTCTATCTTGGCCCAGTCTTTACCAGAAATGCTGGCATTTCTGGAAACAGCATAATTATTATATAAAAGGTGGCTTTGTGTTTATTCATTTCTGTGACTAAATCTGCCCCAACTCTACCTTCAGTTGAATTCCAGAAGTTTTTGGGTGCATCAGGCTGAGATGCTGCATTAATACCCGTATGGAACGTAGGCCAATTGCAGTTGTGTCATTTGTGTATTTTGTGTGCATAGAAACTGCCTCAATATCTGGGTGTTTCTCTCTTTGGATTAGAAAAGTCATTACCATCTGGATTTTCAGTTTTGAAATTGAACCAGAAATGAAGGTTCAGTTCTGTGCGTCTGGGGAAGTCAAAAAGATGGGCAAGATATTTTTGCTCAGTTAGCTGGGCACTTTTTCTATTCTGAACTTCTCTGCCCTTTGCCCCTGTGACTCAATTTTTGTGAATTCCACTATATGTGTCTTCTTTGCAGGATAACATCTTTCTACTTCCTGCTTTTTTTTTGGTTTTTATGGCAAATTCAGCTGTCCAGTCTCCCTCTCCTTATAGGAAGTGGGTTCATTCCTTTAGCCTGAACGTTGGATTGCTTTTTTCAGCTGCTAGAGAAGCGCTTTGGTTTCTGTGTTGCTTCTATTTCCTTGGCACGGCATTTGGTGGGAACCTCCCTTATGTTTGCACACAGTGATAATACAGGGCAATCCATAACAAACCTTGGGCTTAAATAATGGAAATATATCCCCTTGGAGTTGGAAACATTTTCCTGAAAGCAATCAAATTCCCACAGAGCTACCTTAATAGGTGAGCTAAAAAAACATTCTGTATAGAATTGGGTTTAAATGAGCACCCCGCCTTCCCCGTTCCTTCCATCTTACTAAATGATTGACAAATGCCTGGAGAGTTCTCACTCCTTTGAGAGCTTTTCCTCAGCTTTTGCAGAAAGTCTGCCTTCTCAACTAAGCCTCGTGGGGGGCTGCTAATTAACAGTGGCATTTCAGCCCCTCACACTCCCTCCAGTCAAGTGACCGCTATTCAAGAATTGTCAGGAGCATTAATGATCTGTTCATCAGGAGAAAAACAACATTTCCTCCAAAAGGCACTGAAAAGAGACAGGATAATTACTGCTTGTGTGTTCAGAAAAAGACCCAGCAGCACTTGTATTAGATAGTTTGTCTGGATTTATTAAAAAGGCTGTTTATACATTATATAGGATATTATCCTGTGACAACCAACATGTATATATGGAAATATTTAAACGCATCACATCCTGGATGCTAGGATTCAGCATCTGTGCAGAAAATGATCAGATGTACAAGTAAAGTTAGCTTTGCAACTTATTAAAAAACACTACTGAACCGAATGGCCTTCTGAAGGAAACATGGATAAAATCAAACTGTCAGATGTTTTCAAGACAAGATGGCAGGCATCTGTCATTTTCTGAACATAATTTATCAATATAAAACTAGATTATAGTAAAAGTAATCCTTTACTGAACATAGTCTACTGACCTTTACAGGTAAAATGCAGGAAAGCAATAAAATATAAATATGACATTATAACTAGGCTATAAAAATAGTGCAGAATGACAGATATGAATTCTGAGAGACTGATACAGCCAAGAGAAATTACTCAGAATAAACAATTGTTACAATTAAATCTAGTTCATCTCACCTTGAGTCTGTATTGTGAGGTACTTAGCTGTTCTAAGAGAGACACATTTATTAGGCCCTTCAAAATAAAACTGCTATGTAAGAGCTGGATGATATCTTCAAAAAATCTTTAAATAAGGGATAGGTAAAACACTCTCTAGGGCAAAAATGAATGTAAAACTAAGTGCAAAGTTTTGATTTAATCTGTTTACTCTAGCATGCTTCATCTATCTCCCCTGCTTTGTCTTCACCAATGGTGACTGCCAAACATGTTTTTTTGTGACTTGGGATCCCTCCTCCAGCTGGAGCTGCTCAATCTCTGGGTGGATTGGGAGCTACGGGTTGCTTTCAACCCTCTGGGGAAGAGATCGGATCCCTGCATAGCTGGCCGTTCTCCTGCTTTCTCCTCTATGAGAAGAAGGACATTAGGTGGGGAAGGAGGAGGGGTGCCCAGACACTAGACTTTTTTGTATTTTGAACTACAGTAGCACCAGTTTGCTGCTGGCAGCATGATTGTTTGGGGGCCAGGGGGCGTGATTGCTCTGTGGTAGAACTTCATGTTTTACTTTTCATACAGTACACTTAATCCAGTCAGCCAGGAACTCAGTCAAGGCTCTTTACCAACATTCTGGCAATATACAGTCACATTATTTGGGTTATAAACCATTATTTGGGCATTACACAGTCCACACCCACCTCCTTCAGGAGACATCTAGTATCTCTTTGTGCTTGAAGAGTACTGGCAAAAGCTCTGTTACATCCCTAGCCCCTTCCCATTGGCAGGCAAGCACCTGGGCTTGACTTGGTGCTGCAGCTGATCAGTGCTCAGGAGGAGTTCTGTGGCTGCCTGTCAATTCTGTGATAGCCTTGCTTTTTAAACGGTTGTCTTTTGGCAATGCTTTAGATCTATCCCATTACCTACATCCCAGTAGGTAATGCATCTGCACAGTGGGACTGACCAGGTGAAGATAGTTTAAGCCCAAACAAAACCTGGAGCTGTTTGGGATTCAGACTAGATGTTTTCTGCCCCACTTGCCTGACTGGGTTATGGAATATGCAGAACATGCTTATTCTACTATTGATCCAATTAAGCATGTTGTACAGACCCGACTTGTGAGTTGGTAGTCACAATGCTATGTTAAAGCCATAATGCCGTTCACCTGGCCATAGCTCTTGCCCCTGATTGCATCTGCATCCCAACCCTTCGTTTCATGACAAAGTACAGGAAGTGCCAAAAGAGCCATTTTGTTAGAGCAATTCTTGAGGTCTAGAATGATAGGCCCAGGTTAAGGGGCTGGATTTGGTGCTCTACAGATATGTGGGACTTCAGTTGCTATAATTCCCAAGTTGAAATCTGGGACATCCAGAGATGACAGCCTTTGGGGGAAGGCTGCGCTGGCCTGCCTTTGAAAGCAAATAACATTACTAATCTTATGGTCTGACAGGCAAGGGTCCTTTTCAGCTGATGAGACTTCCTCTCCACCTATTGTCTTGATACATCTGCATCTGCTATGGAGGAATGTTGGAATGTAAACCCAGGAAAATTCCTAGAAGCAATACAGGTGGATGGATGAAGTGTTGAGTCAGGATGAGAGTAAGAAAGAGATTGTAAACTACTGAGATTTGTTTATTCCTGCTTGGATTACAAAGAGACATTTTGACTAGAAGATATAAGAGGAAAGCTCTGTGTATCAGCCTTCTTGCTGATTTGATCTCATGGGGTCCTTCAAGTGTTAATCGCCACCACCAGTTCATCTTTTCTCTCACTTCCTCACTCCTCTTCAGGGTTCTGCTGAGTCCTATACCAGTCGCCCATCTGACTCTGATGTGTCCCTGGAGGAAGACCGTGAAGCCCTGCGCAAAGAAGCAGAGCGCCAAGCGTTGGCACAGCTGGAGAAAGCCAAGGTAAGTATCTACTTCCTATGGAGTTAGAGAGTTAGGATTCAGAAGATGGCCTGTTGCAAAGTCACCTGCTTGTCTGGCTTCAGACAGGGAGACAAGTATCCCATCTTTTCCTTCCAAAGGGCTGCAGTGCAGTATGTGGACAGCAGAAGAGCAGAGAAAAATAGAAGTTATACCTTATAGTAAACTAGGATATTTTTCTTTGCCTAAGATGGACAGACCAAGGCTGCTTCTATTACATCTACTGAATCCTGTAGCAAAAGATAGCTTATATTCATGTCAACACTGTCATCACATATGCACTCCTCCTGCTGTTTGAGAAGTTATATCAGAGCAGGAATGTTTCTCTGGAGATAAATATGTCCTCTACTTTTAATGGGTTTCTTCATGGAAGGAGAGTCTGCTTTTCCAGAATTCTTGATACTACTTTTCGAGTATTCTCTCTCTATATATCTGATAGGAAATTGTTTTTGAGAACAGAGCAGAGCAGAATTTGGGATGTAATATCATGTGACTTTCTCAAAGAAAACATTCCTTATAAACAAATTAGACCAATTTTGCCCTGCATGTAAAAACTGAACAGAAGACAGGTCTGATACAGGGCAATAAATATTTTGAATCAAATTTCTTGTATTTAAGCTTTACTAACTTAGACAATGTTGCTGCCTAATTGCTAGATGAAAAATTATCTCTTTGCTTTGTTAAAGTCCAATATCCTTCCTGGCTCAAAGGCAGCTTTCATTAAGAATTCCGTCTTTTTTGTATCATTCATGTTTGTAGGGACTCTGCATTGTAAGTTAATCCTTTGTTGCACTTGAAACTTTAGCCTGTAGGAGGAAATTTGTAGTGATCTACATGATATCTTGGGTGGGCTAAGCAGCTTTCTGGTGTAGTTTTGATTATTATGAAAGTAATCCATCTGTGCTTTCGTCTTCTTTTAACAAAAAGAAAGTAATTAAAGAGGTTCTTTTTACTCACCTTTGGCTTGCTGATTTTTTAAACGGTTGTAGCAGCTGGTCACTGGTAACTTTTTAAAACTGTTCCTCTTGTTTTTTAAATTTCAGTATATTGTTACCTTTTAGGGGGGAAAAAAAGATGAGGTCAAGCTGTCAGGTCAAACACTGTGAATACCAGAAGCACCTTGGCTTTCTATTTACATTGAACAAAACTTTCCTCAAATATATTTATCTCTGCACTACTGTAGCAGTTCTCCAAAAATATTGTGTGCATTCCATTAACAGTTAACTCATATCTCTGCTATGAGATGATCAAATAACCCCTTCCAAGGTGAAGATGAAACAGGGACTTGAGGACATGCCATATGAGGACAGGGTGAAGGAACACGGGATGTTCAGTCTGGAGAGAAGAAGGGAGAGGAGACATCAGTGTGCCAATACATGAAAGGGAGACATAAGGAAGATGGTCTAATTCCCATTACTGTAGAAACTATGACCAGAAATAATGAGTACAAGTTGCAGTTACCCGGAATTTACTTAACTACAAGCGGAATCTTCCTGGTGGTAAGATCTGTACAACAGTGGAACAGTCTGCATATGGAGGTTGTGAGATCTCCTTCTCTGGAGGTTTTTAAGAAGAGTCTGGACAGCCACTTCTCAAAGATGTCCTGATTAATTTTCCTGCAAATTACAGGAGGTTGGATTAGATGATCTTCATTGTCCCTTCCAACTCCATAATTCTGTCATTCTGTGATTTACTCCATCAGGGCTTTGGCTACTTCTTCTGCTTTTGTATGGAGTGTCCAACTTTCTGATTAATGCAAGCCAGTTATACACTTCACTAAGAACTTTTATCAAATACTATGCGTCCAAAGAATGTACAAAGATAGCTGTAACCACTGGCCAGACTGTCATGCTTGCTTTTCCAGCTTGTTTCTTGATCAATTCCCCATGTATGGGACTACATAAAGATATAAAGAAGAAACACAGGTTGTTTATCTGTAATCTACTTTTCTGGAATGGTCCCCCCTGCAATCATACAACCTTATCTCCTTCCCTGCTTCCCTGCAGCTGGAATCCTGCTCTTTTTCCTTGGAATGTGTTGTGCAGGAGACCTGAAAGAACAGCAACTTTCTGGAATCTGAGGCATGTGCAACTTCCACTTGGTTGGAGCACCAGTCCCCTAGCTAGGCTTCAAAAATGTTCCAAACCAATTTATGCAGGCACAGAAATACCCCATGGCTGGGTTGGCACAGTTCACTAGATTAGATTAAAATGGATTGGAGATGTGTGGTTCAGTGTATTGCATGAATCCAGCCATTGTTTTAGCATATTATATGATCCCACAATTGTGTTTTATTACCCCTATGTTAAGGTTTAGTGATTTTTGTAAAGCCAGTCCATGCATGCAACTACTCCAAAAAGGCTGTAAGTGGCTATATTAGCTGCAAGTAAGCAAGATCTAGCCTATCTTAGAAAAATGTATCACATTCTTTTTTTAGTAGGACATCAGCATCCTGAGTTATCACTCAGGGTTTACTAATTTTTTTCAGAATTTTATTGAAGCTTCATCTTATGTCATAACAACCTGCACTTTTTAAAATCATCCAAGTGATTCATCCAGATGAAAGATTCCATGTAACTCGAGGAGCTGAAATATTCTTAACTAGGGATTAGAAAAGCTTCAAGTCTTCCTCATCATGCCCTGTAAGCCCATTCTTTTCAAAAATTTATGGTGTGATCTTCTATGAAATCTAATGAGATGTTGGCCTTCTCATAAACCTTGTGGCTTATTGGGGGCATTTCTGGTGGGCATCATGTTGCTGATCTGAAGTAAGCAACCTTTCTTGTGTTGAAAACCATGTTCCTAAAAGAGTAACTTGGAGGGCTGCATTACATGGGCAGAACTGCAGGAAGTGGTAGAGCCAGGACCAAATGTTGTAGGTCCAACATTCTGTCTCTTGATTACCTCTTTTTTTGTAGAGTGGGGAAAGCTCCCCTTACCTTTCTCAAAGACATCTTCTTTCTCTCTCACATGCTCTGCAAGCCTGCTTTTTTGCAAACAGCACTTGAAAGCAGGCTAAGAATGAATTACAATAGGTAAAAAACTGGGAACACCACCTACAGTTCGCATCTAACTTATAGAAAGACCACGCAGATGATACTTTCTGTAATATTATTTGGATGTCTTGGCTTCAGTTGTATTGCTTTTTAACTCCTTCGTTTATCCCAGCCTTACATTTCTGTAGATTGTTTATTATTTCACCTAGATGGGTTTTTTTTAGCATACTAGTATACTACTGATCCAATGTAATGTAGTGATGAAGATGTTGGGTTGGGACTAGAGAGAGCCAGGTTCAAGTCTTTACTGAACAAAGATGTCACTGAGTGACTTTGAGCCAGTCATTCTCTCTCAGCCCAACTTTTCAGGACTGTGAAGGTAAAATGAAGGGAGACCGCAGTGTATGCCACCTTGAGCTCCCAAAAGATCTGTTCAATTACAGGTTTCCATAGTAATCTCAAATCTGGGTATGATGCCTGGGTCTTCCACCTCCACTTCAAAGAGATTGGCCCAAATGTAGGCAGAGCTCACATTCTTAGCAACTGGCTTCATCCGACCTATCTTTACAAATTTCTGGCTGGTCAGTCATCTGCAAATTAATTTGGCTAATGGCATGGGGATGCTTTATCAATTCAGGAGGCAGATGAATGGCTTTAGTAATATTCCTTATTAACTGAACTGGCTGAAGCACTGCTACAAAAATCATGGACCTCTGCTGCAGATTGGCATGGTCCCGAATCTTGTCTCAGCACCTGTTCACCACAGGTATTTCACGGTTGCTATTTTCCCAGCACCAGCCATGAATAGCAGATCGTGCTCATGATAACTACAGAAAGCAGCCTGAGGAGAACTAAAGAAAACCATTCAGTCGATCTATCCAGTAGCATGCCTTAAAACAGGGACTGGAAGTCTGAGCTTAATTATGCTTGAAAAAAAATAAAATTCAGACAATGAGCAAAATGTGCAAAGGCTGTCATACGTCTTCTCCTCTTTCCTCCCTGCTACTCTCTCTACCATTTGTTAATTGGATTGATGTGTTTCAAACAAACAAACAAACAGTAAAATAGTATTAATAAAGAAAAAAGCAACCAGATTAATTGGCTCAAAGGAAAATAGGATCTAGAACAGTGTTTTTCAAATTGGCAACTTTAAGATGTGTGGAATTCAACTCCCAGAATTCCCCAGTCAGCATGCTTCTGGGAGTTGGTCCACACAATTTAAAGTTGTCAAGTTTGAAAATCACTGATCTGGAAAATAAGGTTCCCAGATTTGTTCTTGGGTTTGAGGAGGTGACTGATAACTTGTATGGGTGTCTCCGTGGAGTCTTCTTAATGTGATATTGAAGTGGCTTGCCACTGCTTTATTTTGGGCATGAGGGAGCATCTGGCCATCTTTGTCTGGGTTCAGAAACTAAGCAGGGTTGGGACCTGCTTCATACATGAGTGGGAGATCTCCAAGGAATATCAGGCCTGTAAACTAGTCTGGGAATTCAAACAAACACCCTGGGAGTAGATGAGCTTCCACACAGTTGCCAAGAAAACTGCATAGTGATGGCCATGTAGTCAACCAGAGTCAAGTTGACTCAAAGAAGACGTGGTCTTACCATTTTGAGGAGGTGATGGTTGGAATGCCCAAATGGTATCAGTGCAAAGGGTACAGCCCCCCAACCTTGTGGCAGGCCTTTCCAGCAGATTTCTTTTAGGGTCCTGCTCATGACAGCAGGTATTTGTGTGCTTATTGTAAACCATCACCTTTCTAAGTAAAAGGAGGCTCCCCTTTGGCTGCAACCTCATGATTTTGACAGATGCAATTAGCTAATGAAGCCTCTCAGTCTCCCTCTGTTTCAGCTCTTGGCGGACTCTGTTGCAGCCTCCTTGCAATTAGGATGTCTAGAAGCATTTAGGCAACTGGGATCTGGTCCAACCTTCTTGTTGCCAGGATGATCCAGGAGGTAGAAGTGAGTAGGAGTGGTTGGCACCCAGAACATCCCTAGCTTTCTGCTCTGGGCTTCCTGCCAGCAAGTTTTATCCTTTGCTTTTCTCGGCAGGTTTTGTAGCTGTTTGTTGACTACAGTTTCAGATTAACTGTGGGGCCTGATAGGGGTCTAACTCTTGACATCAGATGTGCTTTGTACCAGGAATGGTGGTGTACTTTCTTGCCTGTTTTACAATACAAATACAATACAAAATACTTTAATGACCATTTATAAT